GCTCGGTTGGCTCAACAAGTGTGAGCAGTTCTTCCGCGGCCAGATGACACGGGAAGTGGACAAGGTCTAGCTCGCATCGTATCACCTCATGGGCATGGCTCAACAGTGGTACCTTGTCTTGGAAGGCAATATAGGCCGCCCCACGTGGCCGGACTTCCGTCGCACGTGTCAGCAGCGCTTTGGCCCGGCCCTCAGCACCAACCACCTCGCTGACTTGGCGCGGCTGCCGTTCGGAGGATCGGTGGACGTGTACATGGCGGAGTTTCAAGCCCGGGCCGCACATGCCGACGACCTCTCTACGCTGCAGAAGGCGCGGCTGTTCACCGGCGGTCTGCCGGAACACATCCGCGTCGACGTCGAGCTCCTCGAGCCACAGGACCTGCAGCATGCCATGCGGCTTGCATGCGCTTATGAGCGCCGCAACGCCTCACAGGCTCCTGCCTTGTCGGCACCGTGCCTGCCGCGCCGCCCTGTTGGCGCACCAGCCGCGCTGCCTGCACCAGCCTTCTCCAGCGCCACTTCTTTGGCATCAGCGCCACGCACGTTCAAGCGCCTCACACCGGAGTCGATGGCGAAACGGCGCAAGATGGGCTTATGCTACAATTGCGATGAACAATACATAAGGGGGAACAAGTGTGCCAGGCTCTTCTACCTCGAGGCCTCAGATTACATCGTGGAGGAGCCGGATGACACGGAGGACGACCCGGCTGCACCGCCATTCGACCCCAACACGCCTATGATCTCTCTGTCCGCCATCATGGGCATCCAGGCCGAAAAGACCATGCAGCTCCACGTCCACATTGGCGCGCACCAGTTCACCGCGCTCCTGGACTTCAGTTCAACTCATAACTTCATCAGCACAGAGGCAGCTCGGTGCGCGAACCTGCAGCTTCAGGACAGCCACGGTGCACACGTGGTTGTGGCGAACGGTGACCAAGTCGCGTGCCGTGGTTTCGCCCGCAATGCCAAGCTCGAGATCGGCGACGAAGTCTTCCCAGTGGACTGCTTCTCCATCCCACTGGAGTGCTACGACATGGTCCTAGGGATCGCTTGGATGCGGACCCTGGGGCCGATCCTGTGGGACTTTGAGGGTCTTCGCATGGCGTTCGTACTCCGTAGCCGCCACGTCATGTGGACGGGCATTGGCTCGCCAAGCGCGGGCCGCGCTGAGCAGCTACTCTCCGACCACGTCTTCACCGACAAGGGGGCGGAGCCAGTCCTCCTGGACCGTCTCCTCGACACCTACGCCGACGTGTTTGCGGAGCCCACATGACTCCCGCCCACGCGCCCCTATGATCATCGGATACACTTGAAGCCCGGCATCGACCCCGTCGCCGTCCGCCCCTACAGGTATCCCCACCTCCAGAAGGATGAGCTAGAGAAGAAGTGTGAGGCGATGCTCTAGCAGGGGGTCATACGGGACAACACTTCCCCTTCTCTGTGCCGGTATTGCTTGTCAAGAAGCAGGATGGGGCTTGGCACTTCTATGTCGACTACAGGTCACTCAACGTCGTGACGGTGAAAGACAAGTTTCCGATCCCGGCCGTTGAAGAGCTTCTGGATGAGCTCCATGGCACCAAATTTTTCACCAAGTTGGACCTCCGTTCAGGTTATCAAGACGGCGTTCTGGACACACCACAGCCACTTTGAGTTCTTGGTCATGCCTTTCGGCTTGTCCAACGCGCCTTCGACGTTCCAGGCACTCATGAACCTCGTCCTCAAGCCGTTCCTACGACGCAGCGTCCTCGTCTTCTTCGACGACATCCTCGTATACAGTTCCACGTGGACCGAGCACCTACAACATCTTCGCGTCGTCCTGGACGTCCTCCGTGAGCACTGGTTGCATCTCAAGAGGTCCAAATGCTCTTTCGCTACCTCGTCGGTCCACTACCTTGGCCATGTCATCATGGCTGAGGGGGTGGCTATGGACACGACCAAGGTGGCGGCTGTACAGTCGTGGCCACAGCCGCGTTCGGCGTGCGGCCTTCGTGGGTTCCTCGGGCTAGCCGGCTACTACCGCCGGTTCATCAAAGACTACGGTACCATCGCCGCCCCATTGACACAGCTCTTGCGCAAAGAGGAGTTTTGGTGGTCAGAGGCCGCCGACGCGGCATTTACGGCCCTCAAGGCAGCGCTGTGTGCGGCGCCCGTGCTCCATCTCCCGAACTTCAACGCCACGTTCGTCGTCGACTGCGACGCGTCCGGCTCCAGCTTCGGAGTCGTCCTTCATCAAGATGGGAATCCCATCACGTTCTTCAGTCGGCCCTTTGCGGCTCGGCACCTCAAAGCGGCGGCGTACGAGCGCGAGCGCATCGGTCTCGTCCAAGCGGTCCGCCATTAGCGCCCTTATCTTTGGGGGCGCACTTTCGTCGTCCAAACTGATCACTACGCCCTCAAGTTCATGCTCGACCAGCGGCTTTCGACAATTCCACAACATCATTGGGTGAGCAAATTGTTCGGGTATGATTTCAGGATTGAGTACCGCCCCTGCAAGGCGAACGTGGTGGCCGATGCGCTGTCCCGCCGCGACGGCGACACCCCACTCTTGGCGGGTCTCTACGATACTGATGCAGTGTCCCTAGTGGCGCTCTCGTCTCCAACATTCTGGCTCTTCGATGACCTCCGCCAGGAGCTGGACACCGATGCCACGTTGCGCGCACGCCATGACGCCGTGGCCGCCGGTGCGCACGGGGCCTCCTGGACCGTCCACGAGGGGCTCATACTCCATGACGGATACGTCTTCGCGTCTGCATCGTCCCCGCTCCTAGACGATGTCCTCCAGCTCGCCCACACAGGAGCCCACGAGGGCATCCAGAAGACTCTATGGTGGCTCCGTGCTGAGTTCTACGTCGAGCATGATCGGCGCGTCGGCGGCGACTTCGTGCGTTCCTACTCCACGTGCCAGCAGAACAAAACGGAGACGTTGCACCCCGCGGGACTGCTGCAACCCTTACCGGTGCCCTTGCGAGTCTAGGCAGATATCTCCCTCAACTTCATTGAGGCATTGCCCAAGGTCCACGGTAAAAGTGTTCTCCTAACCGTGGTTGATAGGTTTTCGAAGTATGCGCACTTCATTCCATTGGGCCACCCCTACACGGCGTCGTCAGTGGCGTGAGCTTTCTTCCAGGACATCGTGCGCCTCCATGGATTTCCTGAGTCCATCGTCAGCGATCATGACCCGGTCTTCACGGGGCATGTGTGGCGCGATCTCTTTCGCCACGCCGGCGTCCAACTTCGGATGAGCACTGCGTTCCATCCACAGACAGACGGGCAGTCCAAAGTGGTGAACAAGGCCATAACCATGTACTTGAGATGTCTCACTGGTGACCGCCCTCGCGACTGGCTGGACTGGCTGCCGTGGGCGGAATTCTGTTACAACACCGCATATCACACGACGCTTCAGACTACTCCGTTTCAGGTGGTCTACGGACGTCCTCCGCCCGACCTGCTGCCGTATGTTCCAGGGGAGGCGCGCACGGAGGCCGTCGACACCATGTTGTCCAACTAGGATGAGTTCTTGGATGAGGTACGTGCTCGCCTTCTCCAGGCGCAGGAGTACGTTCGCCGCTTCTATGATGCCAAGCACCGTGCCCTGGAGTTTGCCGTCGGGGACTGAGTACTGCTCCGCATGCTTCATCGACACACGCAGTCCCTAGCCCCTAGCGGTCGCGGCAAGCTGGGGCCCAAGTATGATGGCCCTTTCCAGGTGATTGAGCGGGTGGGCGAGGTGGCCTACCGGCTTCGTCTTCCGGAGGGCGCCCGGATTCACGATGTCTTCCATGTCGGGTGTTAAAGCCATTCCGTGATACACCGCCGACGTCTGCGCCTGTGCTTCCTCCACTTCGCCACGACCGGCCTCTCCAGCGACCGGAACACATATTGCGCTCTGAACTTCGTCGTGGCGTCTGGCATGTCCTCGTCGAGTGGTCTGGCATGCCTGCGTCTGAGGCTACGTGGGAGCCGGTTCCTGCATTCCAGGAAGCTCACCCTTCCTTCCAGCTCGTGGACGAGCTGTTTCCCGAGGGAGGGAGAGATGTTATGGTGGGGAAGACTTATGCAAGGCGCAACAATAGAAGGGCCTGAACCGTGTTGTATTCAGGCCCATCTAGAGTCCTAGCAGATTTGGGTTAGAGTCTTAGAAGATTTGATCCAGATTTATAGCAAGAGTTTGTTAGCGTCAAGGGTCGAGTTGTAAGGACTATAAGAGTCCAACTTCATTAAGGAAACGATTAGCCTAGGATTGTGACTTCAAGTCACCCTTGGGCGCCCGGCGGACTCTACTGTTCATCGTCATATACTGTTCACCATCATCTCTTGCCGCCGCAATCACGGCTCCAGTCCGCCGAACCCTCGCACACTCTCATGCTCCTTATCTCCTCCGTACTTCCTTCGAAGCAAAGCCCGCCGTCGTACCACGCACTTTGTAATAAAAGGCTAGAAATCCTCCACCCTAGGTTTTGAAAGACCGGGAAACCCTTGGTAGGTAAATGGAAACGAACCATTGGTGCATCCAAAAAGTATTTGTAGTTGTGTACTTGTGTCAAGCTCTTATTGCCAATATTAATGGACACCATCATACTCTTATCTCCTACAATACAACCAAAAAAAATAAAACATAAATATTTTTTTTTGTGCGACGTTCCAACGTGTGGATCCTCCTGCCTGCTGCGATCCACCCCCCCCCTCTGCTCGTACGCCCGTCTCTTGCGATCCCCTGCCCGTCCTATCCCTTTTCCTCTCCGTCTGATTTTCTTTCCATAACAAACCACCCCACACCGACGCCACAATCATCGCGAGACACCGACGCCTTCTCCCCACCCCACTAGGACGCCATGATCGCTCAAGCCTCGCGGCGGGCGGTGTGAGGCCAAGGGCAGCACGGCGGGAGGGGCGTCGCTGCGATGGATCGGGCGGCGGCGGCGATCCAGCGCCGAATGGGTGGCGGGTGAGGTGCCGGGTGGCACCCGAGGTGATCCAGCCCCGAATGTCCGCGATCCCCCATGGCGGCGGCACCGGCAGTCGCGGTTGCGACGACGGCGGAGGACGAGGCTCGCTTGCTGCGCCTGGAGGAGCAGGCGGAGCACGGCAGCGGGGGCACGGAGTACCTCTGCTGCTTGCGATCAACCAACGCCCCCTCCTGTCCGTCGTATCCTTTTCCTCCTGATTTTCAAACCACCCCACCTCGACGCCACAATCATCGCCAGACGCCGTCATTCTCGCTGGATCCCACGGGCCGCCGCCGCGCGCGCCGCTCCCCATCCCCGAACCCCGCAGCAGGATCCATGGCCCCCAGGCCATCTCTTCGAGAAGCAGGTCGGGCTCGAGCTACCGCTGACGGAGGGTTGCGGCAACAACAACTTCTACGGCGACGAGGTCAGTTTTGTGTGCCATGGCCTCAGATCCGTTGGTTTCCAGCGGTGAGGTCTCATTCCATCTCCTCAAAGTTCAGGGGCTGTAGTTCGATTTGTTCTGATTTTTCTCTTTGGATATAAATGGTCCAGAGACACGCTCAAGAACGAAGTCGGGTCCTGACTTCTTTGGTTGGCTAAATGATCTGGTGATCTACAAGGAGGCACAACTTCTCAAGTAAATACAGTCTTCTATTAAGAGCACGACGTGATGGCTCGGTGCTCCATACAATTACATTGGCAGACATCACTTTAGGTAAAGAGCTAGCTGTTCTCCCGTACATCCATATATCAAAGTCAATCTCTTATTATTGTATTACAATATTCCCTCGAGAGGCACTTAGCCGGTGTCCCTTAATGTGTAGACCATTAGTAAAAAAAATTGTCATTCTTAATTTCCTAGAGATGGTGGGATATATACCCTTCCATGCAATGTTTTCGCTCCAGAGGCACTTGGTCGGCTTTAGCCAGGGTAGCATCTGTTTGAAAAGTTACAATGACAAGCTTCTGTGTTATCAGGCTTTCAGGGTTAGGTGTACACTTGATGTCTGTTTATGCTAGATTATCTTTCCAGTTGAACCCACAGTTCCGCACTTCTTTTAAAAAACATAATTTAATTCATACCATTTTAGCTTCATGGAATCGATATAGTTATTGCTGGTTACCAAAAGAAAAGGTGATGCATGATCCCTGAAGACTAATGTAGTGGTACTACTCTGGTAGCATTCTACATGTCTGAGGGATATTGCGACTTCTACATTCATGTGATGTTTGTGATTTTTTGTGCACAGTTCTGAAAGAGAAGGAATGACTATTTGTCTCTAGGACACAAAGAATATGAAATTGTAGATCAAGCAATGGGTTTTTTTCTCAACATGTGAAGTACTTGCATGTTAGCATCAGGGCTTGGGTTGGGAAATAACAATTTGGTTTGGAAAATTAACTGGTTACAAATCAGGTTAGTACATTTTTTGTGGTGCCACTCTTTCCACTTGATAAAAGAAAGAACACGGCTGAGTTCCAAGCTGTAAGCCTCTAATAGTACTTTCCCCTAAAAAGCTTCGATATTTCATTTCCTTTCAGTATTTTGGTGCCATTTATGCGTTATTTTGTGTATATTTTAATTACATGCTATAGGAATCATGAGTCAATTTATATCTATACTGTATTGCATTAATGATTCCGGACATTTGTTGCATCAGGTGTCAGCAGCTAAGTTCGTATATGGCTGTGCTATCGATGCCGCGATGTGGAATCCCAATTGCCTCTTCGATTCTCTTCAAGCCGGCGTCATGCTGCCAGAAAAGTAAGGAAACTCCTAGCATCACTACATGTCGTTAGAAGCCTCTGTGCACATAAAAAGAATGCCTACCCTTTGAAAAATAATGTTTTCATATTGTCTGCATCTTTGTTCATGAACATTTATTGTTCAATACCTTTCTTGGAGTAATCAATGCAAAATTACCACTTATTATATTATGGTTGTGGCGTTTCCATCATTTTGTAGTCCTGTGTAGTACCTCAAACTCAGGCTTACATGCTTCATTTTCTTTTCTTTTAATTTCAAGCTAAGATATTCCAAGTACATGAGTTTTGTCCAATTGTTTGGAATTTTTATTTGGTTTTGCAGGAGCAGGTAAGCAGCTCTTTGTCGCAGCTCTGTCTGTAGGCAACAGGAACTTGAGGCATAGCAACAGCAGTTCAGTCCAGTTTTGCTGTGGCAGCAGGACCTCATCAGTTCGAGATTATGGCAGCATTGTATGACTGGTTTTAAGCATTCAAGCACGGATTTAGTATATTCACCTGTCTTTTTTGTGTTAGCGTAAACTAATTGATAAGCATCATATCTATTTCAGATACAAGATGGATGTCTGTGATTTAGTATAAATTTTGTACTATCGCTTAAGTGGGTGTATGTGATTATGAGTCTTGTATATGTGACATTATCAATTTTGAAATATAATGTAACAGTTGGGACTCATTCATGGATGTGTTGCAATGAGATTTGGCTTTGTATGAGGACCGAACGGGGACTCCGTTGTCTAGCTCTGGGGTTGATATGTCTTAACATTTTGTATAACTAGAGCCAAATTGCTTATGTAGAAAAAAATCTTAAGTAAATATTTGGATCTCAGCTGAATATTAAAGGGATTATTTGCCAAGAGACCTTTGGCCTTTGCAACAAATGGGTAGAGTACTATCTAATGTTCTGTGCAAAACTACTCTTAGATGATATTATGCTTTTGCTTGATACTGGCCATCCTTTTGCAAAACTACTGAATATGAAAGGGCCAGGATTTTCAAGAAACATATTGTCCTTTTGCTTAATCTGGATCGACGCTGATTTACATCATATTATTATGGGTGGCTTAAGAATCCTCTCTGGGGTCCAATTACTGCTTAAGGGCTAATAGTATCAGTTTCCTGAAAAAAAAGGAAGGGCTATTAATTTCAAGCTCTTCTCATCCTGTTCTGTCATTCTCTTATGCCATTGTGAACATCACCTTTTTCATGTCCTAGCTGTGTAATGATCTTGTGGTGAAATTGTAAGTAGCATTATGTGCAAAATGTGTGTGCCCGATCCTATTTTGCAGGAATTATTCGGAAGACAAGGACGATCATGGAGTGTTTGCACCGGATTTGTAGGGATTGTATAGATAAATCAATGCGGCTTGGGTATGGTTCCATATGTTATGTCTAATATGCCTTGCGCCAGTGTCATTTCTTAAAAAATGGAGTCCTAACCTGGTTGTATTAGCAAAACAATGAAGGGGCTGTTTGGTTCCTTTCCCTCCTCCTAAAATTTCTGTCACATCGAATGTTTAGATACATGTATGGAGTATTAAATATAGACTAATTACCAAACTAATTATACAATTTGCGACTAATTTACGAGACGAATCTTTTAAGCCTAATTAGTCCATGATTTGACAACGTGGTGCTACAGTAAATATGTGCTAATGATAGATTAATTAGGCTTAAAAAATTCGTCTCGAAAATTAGCCTCCATATATGTAATTAGTTTTGTAATTAATTTATATTTAATGCTCCTTATTAGCCTCTAAACATTTAATGTGATATAAATTTTAGGAGCGCCTAAATAACCGAACACCCCCGACTTTCAGTGCTCAGTTCAGTGCTATGAAAACAATGAACTTCTAGGTGGTCTGTTGCGTGTGCAATGCTCCAGACGCGTGGCGGTCCGCCCCCCCCTGTGCTCCAGTGACGGTAATGTGCTGTGCCCGCTCTCGACTCTCAAGAACTCATTGCTCTGTGTCTGTACTTTTCTTTCATAAAAAAGAAGTTGGTGTGGATGTGTCAGTGCTTTGGATTGAGAGGTAAGTACCCGGAAAAGTATGGTAATTTGTATGTTTGATGTTTTATTTAATCCGTTACAATGGTCGTATCTTTGATCACTAGATATTGCCCATGAGTGATGTGTTTTTATGCTCCTCTACTGTAATTGTAGTAGAACATCTCAAGGCACGTGCTCAAATATTTTTTAGAACTTTTATAAGTTAAATGGTTTAGGGTTGGTTGGCATATATAAATTAATTGGTGATATGCACTGACTACACCTAAAAAAAACTCACTGTTTCTACAGTTTGGTACTCTCCTGTACTTAGGCTGCTACTTTTTTTTTTACAATTTCATTATTTTTATTCTGCTTATAACAACTAGATGTAGAATTGCCTTTTAATTGGTGTGCTGTGTTTTTCATGTTTCATTCGGCAAACAACTACACAACTGCTTCTGAGGAGAGACTTGGGCAGCTCATTCAGAAGTTGAAAAGGAAGGTGCTAATCCTAAGCAGTGGAGACTTAGAAATTTTCAGCGCATGTTATGCCCACATGTATGGAGCATCTATTCTTTACAACCCTGTTCTGCTGCTTCCAGTTTAGTGTCTTTTTCATGAATTATATCTATCTTTACAACCAAACAGTCTAATTGATTTAAGACATGAATGATAAGAAATTGCTCCCAAGAAGTGACGCATCCTTAAATCATCCAATCAAATTGACTTGATTCAATATAACATTGCAAGTTAATGTCGTATCATTTCTTTTTAGTGATCCATTGCATTTTGTATCGTTGAGCTATCTAGCGACAATAACGAACTATAACTTACACCGGCCCTCACGGTAGGTTGTCTGCTGTTGCTTCTCACGCTGGACAAGAACAGCAGCTAGGTGGGAGTTCATTGGGGGAGCCTGATTCGACATATCGTGGAGACATTCGGCTAGGGGAGGATAGAGATTTAGATTTTGTTTGTTTCATAAGCTTTTCTGAAATAGATCTACATGTCCTCTGCTTGGTGGGGTTGCAGGTGAGGACGCACGCGATCCGGACGGCGCACTAGAACATCGACAGTACCATCAAGGCCACCGACAACATCCTCTCCCAATGGCTAGCTGAACTCGTTGCATTGAGAAAATAGTAATCTTCCAAGTTCTGCTGGCGATGAGGGAAAAGTGACAGAGAATGTGTGTGTTGTGTGTGCTCGATATTTTCAGCTCCTCACCCGAATGCTCGCTCTGGTCGAGAATCATGAAGCAAAGGGTTACCAAACATGCTCCAATGTTATGTGTGATTATATTTTAAGGAATGAAAAACGTGGAATTTGTTTTTATCTCTTGATTATAGCCAGATGCTTTCCCTTGTGTCTATCAGGTTCTAGCACATTGTTATTGTCGGTGTTTTGAACAAACACTAACTAGTAAATTTATAATTATTGCGTGTTAGGCTCGGATGGTGTACTAAAGGACACAAGGTTTATACTGGTTCAGGCAGAATGTCCCTACGTTCAGTTTGCTGCTGCTCGTGTTATTAGTACCAAAAAAGGTTCGTAGTAGGGGGTACAAACGGTGAGAGAGGGACATGTCCCAAGTCTCTGATGGAAAGGTCGAAAGGACGCCAAGAGCTCGGTTGCTGCTTGGCTGTGTGTTGTGTGTCGAATTTATCCGTCCTCTTAGTAGGGCGTCCTGCCCTTCCTTTTATAGACCAAGGGGGGAGCAGGGGTTACAGATGGGAGAAAGAGGAAAAAACTAAAGGTAGAGAAGATCCTTCGAGGGTCCCGGGTCTTCCTTTTCCCTTGAGCTTGCCCTGCTGACATGGCAGACCACGCCAGGGATAGCATGTTTCGTTGATCCTGATAGGGCTGGGCTCTGGCTTCGTCTCAGCGAGTGGTCATGTTCCATCCTCCCCTGGCGAACGGTGCGGTGTGTCAGGGCACCGAGCCATGACCCTGCAGGGAGTAGACGGGGAAATGACTATATGCCTATTACTGTAGATGATGTGAGTTCCTCCTTGGATTGTAGTGGTTGTCGTATGCCTGTGTTAGTATCCGCGCCCGAGGGCTGATGGCGGCGCCTACAACACTATAGGATAAAAGTCGGCGCCTACAACACTATTCGGGCTCTGTTAGGTCGGAAAGGGCTTAAAGCGCCCGTCCCATCGTATCCTGATGGTACCTTCCTACAGGCGTGCAGGGCATGGTCCTCGGTACTGCGGTTTACTCGAATGTCCTATCGTACCATGTGCTCATCATCATGAAGGAGCAGGGTGCAGTCGTCGGGCGAGGCGGAGCCTGCCCTCAGATGTCGAGCGAGGCGGAGCCATCCCTCAGACGTTGGGTGAGGCGAAGCCTGCCCTCAGCCGTCGAGCGAGGCGGAGCCCACCCTCGGACGTCGGGCGGGGCGGAGCCAGCCCTCAACCGTCGGGCGAAGCGGAGTCTAGCCCTCGAGGGTCGGGCGAGGCAGAACCAAGCTTCCGTCGTTCGGGCAAGAAGCGTAGTAGCGTTCTTGTCTGATCGGAAGCGTCAATGTTCGATGGTTATTAGTTCCACCTCATTGGGTATCCCGGTATTAGGTCCCTGACAGTAGCCCCCGAGCCCCGGATGATTCGGATATAATCGTCCGGGGGGTATTTTGACTTGCCAGAGGGTGCGCGCGAGCGCACCCGACGGGTGTAGCCCCTGGGTGATTATGGCAGAATCGCCCGGGGGGTATTTTGATTTGCCAGATGGTGCGCGCGAGCGCACCCGTCGGGTGTAGCCCTCGAGCCCCCGGGTGATTCGGATAGAATCGCCCGGGGGGTAATTTCGGACCCTTCGCGGGTATGGCTGTGAGATTTGATTTTTATCAACTGGACAGTTTAAAGGAAACCCTGGTATCCTGTTCATGGGGATTCGTCTAAGGTTAGCCCGGTTGGGACTTGATTGTGGATCGAGGTTCCCTTGAGGCTTGTGTGCCCGAGTTCTGGCCGCTCGTGGGCCCATCCCTCGTTGGGACAGCCGTCGAGACTATTGGGCTAGCCCTTGAACTCCTAGGCCTAGGCGGGCTAGAGAAAAGCTTTTTGACCCGTATCCCCTCCGTGGGAAAAGAGTCCTGGTCTGCTTGGGGAAGGCGAAATGTCCGGCGCAATTTTGGTGGGAAAGGATAAGGATCACGGGCACATATCCCGCGACGTGACGCGGCGGTGTATCGTGGTAGGCTCAGAGACCTAGGCGTGTGGTTTCTCTTCTCGCATCCATCGCACCAATAACACCGAGGGGTTTGCCCCCAGGGTTTCGTACCTTGCCTCCTCGCCTTCGCATCTACAACCCCCGCCGCCAATCGCTTGAGCCTCCTGTACCCACATTGCAGCCGCCATCGAGCTTGCTTCCGCATCGCAACCGTCGTTAAGCTCGCATCCACCCCCCTCCCACTTATTTCAATGGAGCCATGGTGCAGATCCGTCATCACCCCTCAGCGCCTAGAGGTCCTCGTTCGCCGTGGCCTCCTTTGCTCGCTGACCGCCGTCGAGGAGTGGCGGCTACCCGGTAATGAGGATGAGCCATCGCCGCCCGAAGGGTATGTCGTGTCCTTCGCTCACTTCCACGAGCGGGG